AAACACAGTCTCTCTCTGGGCTCTAATGATCCTTTTGCCTCAGCCTCCCACGTAGCTGGGAGTCCCCCACAAAGCCTGGCTTTTTTTCTTTTCTATATTTAGTTGAGATGGGGTTTTGCTCTTGCTGGAACTCCTGAGCTCAAGCAAACCACCTGCCTGAGCCTCCTTGTATCTCTTGGCTGGGATTATAGGCCTGAGCCACTGTGTCCCACGGAGAAAAATATTAATAAAAGAAAAGCAAAAGTTATATGTCTCAATTTTAATAAAATTGGGTTTACATGTTAATGAAAATTGAAAGAGCTCTTAAAACTAGTAAAAATTTTTTATGGTGATATAATTACAGTGATATTTAAGTATTTAAATTTTATGATCAGAAGATGGTATTTATTCAGAAATGGTTTTAGAATTTATTTCATTACAACCTTAATAGTAAGAGTTTTTCCCATGAAAGGAAGGAAAGGTGAATATAATGTCTAGCTGTTCAATGATAGCATTCAGACCATTGTGCCTCAGACATGTCAGATTACATTTGGAATATGGTTTTTAGTTCTAGGTATTATATTTTAAGAATGTAATTGGTGGCCGGGTGTAATGGCTCATGCCTGTAATCCTAGCACTCTGGGAGGCCAAGGCAGGTGGATTACCTGAGCTCACTATTTTAAGACCAACCTGAACAAAAAGTGAGACCCCCATCTCTAGTAAAAATAGAAAAACTGAAGTAAGACGGTCACTTGAGCCCAAGTTGGAGGTTGCTATGGGCTATGATGACATGGCACTCCACCTAGGGCGACAGCTTGAGACAGAAAAAAAAAAAATGGGGCAGCGCCTATGCTCAGTGAGTAGGTGAGTTCAAACCTGGGCCTAGCCAAACTGCAACAAAAAATAGCCTGGTGGCAGGTGCCTGTAGTCCCAGGTACTTGGGAGGCTGAGGCAAGAGAGTGGCCTAAGCCCAGGAGTTGGAGGTTGCCGTGAGCTGTGATGCCACAGCACTCTACCAAGGGTGACAAAGTGAGACCCTGTCTCTTAAAAAAAAAAAAATGTAATTGGCATGACCTACTACTTTAAAAAAGAAAAAAGAATGGAATCAGGCTGGGTGCCCATGCTTAGTGGTTAGGGTGCCGGCCACATGCACCGGGCCTGGTGGGTTCAAACCTGGCCCAGACCTGCTAAAACAAACACAAAAAATAGCCGGATATTGTGGTGGGCACCTGTGGTCCCAGGTACTAGGGAGGCTGAGGCAAGAGAATCGCTTGAACACAAGAGTTTGAGGTTGCTGTGAGCAGTGATATCATAGCACTTTATCCAGGTGACAAAGTGAGACTCTGTGTCAATTAAAAAAAAATGGAGGTGGCACCTGTGGCTCAGTGAGTAGGGCGCCAGCCCCATATACTGAGGGTGGTGGGTTCGAACCGGCCCCAGCCAAAGTGCAACAAAACAATAGCCCCGTGTTGTGGCGGATGTCTGTAGTCACAGCTACTCAGGAGGCTGAGGCAAGAGAATTACCTAAGCCCAAGAGCTAGAGGTTGCTGTGAGCTGAGACGCCACAGCACTCTAACAAGGGCGACAAAGTGAGACTCTGTCTCTTAAAAAAAAAAAAAATGGAATCAGTAAATCAATTATAGGGGAAAACTTGGAATTCACGTGTGATAGTTTAAGCCGCTGGGAACCTTTACCCTGGTAAAGAGGCTGAGGTGAGGGACAGGAAGAAAGGGGAGCAGAAGTGATAATATAATAATGACCTTCAAATACTTAAATGTCAGCTGGGAAGGGAATAGGCTGATTCTTTTTTTTT